CTCCAGAGGCACCTGCACACCATGTTTATTGCGGCACTATTCACAATAGCCAAGTTATGGAAACAGCCAAGATGCCCACCACTGACGAATGGATTAAGAAAATGTGGTATCTATACACAATGGAATTTTATGCAGCCATGAAGAAGAACGAAATGTTATCATTCGCTGGTAAATGGATGGAATTGGAGATCATCATTCTGAGTGAGGTTAGCCTGGCCCAAAAGACCAAAAATCCTATGTTCTCCCTCATATGTGGACATTAGATCAAGGGCAAACACAACAATGGGATTGGACTTTGAGCACATGATAAAAGCGAGAGCACACAAGGGAGGGTGAGGATAGGTAAGACCTTAAAAATTAGCTAGCATTTGTTGCCCTTAATGCAGAGAAACTAAAGCAGATACCTTAAAAGCAACTAAGGCCAATAGGAAAAGGGGACCAGGAACTAGAGTAAAGGGTAGATCAAAAAGAATTAACCTAGAAGGTAACACCCACGCACAGGAAATTAATGTGAGTCAATGCCCTGTATAGCTATCCTTATCTCAACCAGCAACAACCCTTGTTCCTTCCTATTATTGCTTATACTCTCTGTACAACAAAATTAGAAATAAGGGCAAAATAGTTTCTGCTGGGTATTGAGGGGGGGGGCGGAGTGGGTGGTAAGGGAGGGGGGCAGGGGGAGAAATGACCCAAGCCTTGTATGCACATATGAATAAAAAAAAAAAATTCTTCAGTGGTGAAATCTAATGATGTATTGTTTTAAAAAGCTATTTGTGAATGGTTATTTATAAGTGTATACGTGAGAATTTATAAGAAAGTCCTGCTTTCAGTAGGTATTGAAGGTATTATATGTAATGTTTTCCTAAGAAGTCTTGTCTATTGCTTAAAGTAAAGAGGGTTTGGGGTTCTGAATTTGTAATTATACATACAGTTTCTTCAAATGCCAAGATAAAATTTTCTTGAATTGATAACTTGAGTGGCACTAGGCGTCAGTAGTAGTTGAGTGAGCATTTTTTGAGTCATCAACTATCTATAATAAATTTGTATGCTTGTGATTTTCAAAGTTTTTGTTTCAGAGTACCTTTATAGTCTTCAGATGTATTGAGGTTTCCAAATATTTTCGTTTATGTGAGTTAAATCTATTGGTATTTACAAAATAGCAGTTAAGCAAAATATTTACTTATTTTATACTTATTCTTACTTAGTAACATAAATTTTTTATTAGTGGGAATGAATTGTACCAGTGGGTTTTGTTGTGATATTTCTATATGTGCATATGAGGTACTTAGATCAAATTCACCCAACAAAAACTTTTAAAATAGCTATTTCCAAAATTAAACAATATTGAGATGGGTGCCATTTTCACATCTGCTGTACATTCAGTTGTTATTCTATGTTATTTTTGATAATGTATATAAAGAAAGCCAATCATCACATAGTTAGGTAGTTGGAATGGATAGAGAGTATATTTTAATTGCCTTTTCAGAAAATTTTGGATATTTTTATTTGATACTCCAAACTTGACATGTTATAGTTTTAAACTTTTCATGCTCTGTTATATTAAAATCTCCTAGTTTGTTTTGTTCTTTGAGTATCTTTCATCCATGCATAGTTTCATAACATTCATTGTTCATGTGGAAATACTAGCTAGCATTAGTTCAGTGGCAAAGTTCTTCCAAAAATCCATTTAATTTTTTAAAAGGTTATTCTTAAAATTTGCCATTTTGATCATTTTTAAGTGTAAGTATATAACTCAGTAGCATTAATAACATTCACTCTGTTGTTCAGTCTTCACCACTGCCAATTTCCAAAACTCTTACCCCAAACAAATGCTGTAACCATTAAGCAGTAGCTCTCCATTCTCCCCTTCCCCCAGCAGCTGATAACTTCTCATCTGTTTTTACATGAATTTGCAAATGCAGTGTTTAATCTTATATATGCCCTTTTGTGTCTGGTTTCTTTGAGTTAGTATATTTTCAGAGTTCATCCATTGTTGTAGCATGTATCAGAACCTGATTCCTTTTTATGACTAAATCATATACCCTTGCATATTTATACTATATTTGTTTTGTTTTGGTATTTTGAGACAGGGTCTTGACATGTAGGCCTTGTGATCCTCCTGCCACCTCTACTTCCTGAGTGTTAGAACCATCACACCCAGCTAAGGAACCACCACTACTACTACTACTCTCTCCTTCCTTCCAGCCTTCCTCCCTCCGGCTTTCACTTTGTCCCTCCCTCCACCCCTCTCTCCCTTCCCTCCTTTCTCCTTTTCTCCTCCTTCCTCCTTCTTCTTCCTACTTCTTTTTTTCTTCTGAAACAACTTCTACTGAAATTACTTCTCCACCTCCCTCCTCTCTCTTCTTTTTCCTTCTCTTCTTATTGAATTGCTGAAGATTGAACCTAGGGCCTGGTTTGTTAAGGACTAATTCTTAAGTGAAAGTAGCTTTTTCTCCCAAGCAAATGCATGGTGGCAACATGACAAAGTATATAACTATTAGGATAGTTTGATCACTGCCTTGATTCATGTTAAGTAAGGAACTAGCAATTTTACCCAGTGTTACTTTTGCCGATGTCCAGACACTAGAAAAGATAAATAACATCTTGATATTATGATGAAAATAGTGTTGACATCAAAGACCACTGAAATTACTTTATGAACCATATTCTTAAGAAATGCTGGTATAGGACCTGAAAAATCTCAAAATTGAAGCTCTTTGTGGGGCAAGGGAGAAATGGGACATTTCTGGGCTTTAAACTCAGGGCCTGGCAGTTGCTAGGCAGGCGTGCTACCACTTGAGCCACAGCCTAGCTCTGTGATGCAAACTTTTAGCCTTTCAGTTCTTGCTGTTGAATTTGTATCTTAATGTTTTTTAAAATGTGCTGGGCATGTTGGTACACACCTATAATTCTAGCACTCAGGAGGCTGAGGCAGGGGAGGGAGTGTTCTATGCCAGCTGTGCTTTATAGCAAGACCCTGTCTCAAAAAAGAAATCATAAAAACAGAAGAAAACTTTAATATGTTCAAGACTAGAACTCTGTAGTTTTTTGGGGGGAGGGGACAGTACTGGGGTTTGAAGTAGGGCATCCAGCTTGCTACACAGGCACTCTACCACTTGAGCCATACCTCCAGCCCTTTTTGCTGTGGTTATTTTGGAGACAGGGTCTCATTGTTTGACCAGGCTGGCCTGGACCACAAGCCTCCTATTTTAGGCTTCCAACTGTCACTGGGTTGATAGGTGTACTTTCTCATGCCCAGGTTTTTCTCACTGAGACAAGATCTTCCAAACATTTTTTTATCTGGGCTAATCTCAAATGGCAATCCTCCCAATCTCAGCCTTCCAAGTAGTAAGGATTACAGGCATAAGCAACCAGCACCCAGACATTCTATAGTAATTTTAAGTATATAATAAAAAACTGAAGAGATAAGTATATATGTACTCATACATTAGATATTTTATTGTTTCTTTTACTAAGTAAACATAGAGAAGCCATCAAGACTGCAGTGACATGACCTGGAAGCAGATGTGTGGTGTGGGCCAGGAGACTAGAAACAGGTTCAGATGGTGGGGTGGTGTTAGGTCTCAGAAACACCTAGTAAGCTTTTTAAATGTGTAGTGTTTAAAGTTCAACACCACTCTTACCAAAGATTCTGGTTTAATAAGTCTAGCAGTCTGGTTTTTGCTCTGGTTCTTGCTCCAATAATTGTAATGTGCAGACCACCTTTCAAGAGTCTCACCTGGGGTGTTTTGAGAATGCCTTTAATTGGAAGAAATTATATCTTCAATCTTTCATTTGCTTGTAAGCTCCTGTTATAGAGAAAAGTGTTATTAAATTTGTCTGGAAGGAAAACTTGACTGTTTCATCTTTTCTCCATCCCAGAGTTTGATCCTCCAGCTCCCTTTGTCACACGATTTCTGAACACAAGAGCAATGAAGGAAACTTTTAAGAGTTATATGGAGCTGCTTGTTAGCATCGCCCTGGATCCCGACACCATGCAAGCCTTAGAGAAGAGCAATGGTATATCTACTAAGTAGAATTCTCTTGGACTTTTTATTATTCTTGTCTGCTGGTTATGTGGTTTGTGTAATATATACCTACAAATTGTCAGTTAAGTTCATAATGTCTTAATCTAGAAAACAGTCGTATCTTTCCATGCATTGCTAACCACAAGAAGAACTTTATATTGAATATATTTTCATTGCTTCATGGAAAGAGTATATGTCAATATATTCTGCTTTCCAATAATTAGAAAGATGAACCAGATTGTCTAGTTTAAGATTAAAATTGTTTATTTGCATCTTCAGTAAAATATACATTGCAGAGGAATTATTTTCTAATCAATTAGTATTAAAACAATGTATGGGACTGGGAGCTCAGTGGTAGAGCACTTGCCTAGAATACACAAGACTCTGGGTTGAATCTCTAGAACTACAAAACAAACAGAAACAGTCTTTAGCATTTTTGCTATCAGATGGTTTCTCTCTGAATCAAAACTCTTTGTAGCCAGATTCTAGTGCTTGGGAGGTTGAGATTTGGAGGATTGTAGTTTGAGGCCAACCTGGGCAAATAGTTCACAAGATCTCCTACATAATCAGAGCAAAATGGACTAGAGATGTGGCTGAAATGGTAGACAGCCTGCTTTGCACGCACAAAGCCCTGAATTCAAACCGCAGTCCTGTAAAAACAAACAAAAACTCCTTACATAATAAAATATACATCTTTTTGTAGTAGTTATTTTTGTGTGGTTGTATTTTGAAAGATTTTTTTAAATTGCTTTTAGTTTTCTGATTTTTTTATTTTATATATAAGTAAAGGAGGGAATCTAAAAGACATATTTGAAAAAAATTGCAAATGTTTAAGCTTGTTTTAGTGAGATGTAAATGTAATATTTATTAAAACAGATCAAATCACTACTAGAATGATAAGATTAGACTAGCAGATGTGTTACAGCAACTTTAGAAAGTTTTCCTTACCAAGGACTTTTTCTTCAAGGAGTTGTGCTTTCCCAGGATACTGTGCTTGTATTTGTATTCCAAATATGTGAACATTAATTTTATTCAGCTGTGAAGTTTATAACCTAGATCCCAAGGATTATCTATATATTTTCAGAAAGGTCATTGAGGGCATCATAAATATATTACTGTGCTGGTAAATTAATATTCTGATAACCTTAAGAATTTAATGAAGTACCAAAAGTAATGAACTTATACTCAAAGTACTTTCCTTAAAAGCTTAATTCAGAGAGATAAAAAAGAAAGCAAGAAGTTTCAAGTAGGAGTCTGTCATATTTTTACTTTCCCCTTTTCTAAAATAACTGTTTGGACTTGTATTTTTTGACACCGAGTTTTGATTATTTTTCTTCCCCTACTTTTTCTTTGCTTCAAATTACAATGAATCAAAAATATTTGAGTCTGCAGATATACCTCCATGGTTAAAAGTGCTTTTACAAACATGCACAAGACCCCTGGGTTCAATCTCTAGCACTCCCGCCCCCCTCCCGAAAAAAAAATATGTCTTGGTCCTACTCAGTATTTTATATGTCAGGCTACTTTGTTTTGTGATAATACTATTGTGCAGATGAGGTAGATGATGTCTGGAGAAATTGGGCGTCTTGCCCATTGGTTACATTGATGTCTTGTAATATGCAAATATTTTGAAAAAAACTGGGTTTTTAATGAGTTTATGTTGATAATTTATTCTATTAAAAATTATGTTATTTCAGATGAGCTACTTTTACCTCATATGAAAAAAATAGATGGCATGCTAAATGATAACCGAAAAAGACTTCTTTTGAATCTTCATTTGGATCAGTCATTCAAGGTATTCCTGTAAGATGACTTATTATCACAACTCAGTGGCACACATAGTCCTGAATGTAATAGGAAAGAAAATTTATGAAACTCATTCTTAGCTTTACAAAATTGTCACCTAACAAAAATTTGTTTTGTGTTCATTATGAGTCATTTTAGTTTACCTTTTTAGTGTTAATCATTTCCTTTTTCTCTGTTTTAGTTTCTGGGCATTTACATTTATCTAACAATCTTTCTATTAGAAATTTCCACATATTTTCTATAAATATTGCCTTTTAACCATCACATTCAAATCTTGCTTTTTTTTCTTCAAGATTTAAAAATTTTTCACTTATAATTAAAATTAGCCTTTTTTAGCATTTTATCAAAATGTCCTTTATTTTATTTACCTAATACCTGAGGAAAATTTGATTTTCATATGTTAGAAAACATATATATATATATATATATGTGTGTGTGTGTGTGTGTGTGTATAAATAATTATTTCTGTTTTTTCTTGGCAATATAAGTTGATTTTGGTGTTTTCAGAAATACAGAACCAAAAGATAATCTAAGCTCAGAATATTCCTCATAGAACTAGTCAAAAGTATTTTCCAGATTTTCTTATTCAGAGTGTAAGATCATCACATCTGGATTTGATATTCTCTTTCTTGGTGGAACTTTTTTAAATTGATGTATCAGTATTACACATTTGTGTCTCTTTGTCATATCCCTATTTTGTGAACTCTACATGAAAGTCACTATTTATTTCATTTTAACTTGGTGAAAATTGAGGCTCTGAGATTGAATTTGAAGTTAATTAACACTTAGCCAGGCATAGTGGCTCACTCCTATAGTCCTAGCCCTTTGGGAGGTAAAGGTTGGAAGGGTTGCTGTTTGAGACAAGCCTGGTCAAAGTCTCCCAAGATCCATCTCAACCAACAAGCTGGTTGTGATGTTACATGTCTGTCATGCCTGCTTGTTGGAAACAAACAGGATTAAGGTCCAGGCCTGCTTGCGCATGTAAATGCAAGACCCTATTCCAAAAAATAACTAAAGCAAAAAGTGCTAGGGGTGTAGCTCAAGTGGAAAAGTGCCTGTCAGCAAGTGTGAGGCACTGAGTTCAACCCCTTGAATAGTCAACAAAAATAAATTGACACTAAACTGTACTGTTCGTTATGTATTCTTTACTGGCATTCATTTGCATATGCTAGTGAAATGCCCAGTACTCCTGGCTCCTAGTCTAGTGTTTTCTACTTAACTGCTGTCTTCAAATGTTCTTTTGGGAAATACTAAGTTGTCTGGAGACAAGGGAATTTTCTTAGATATAGGTTTTCTAAAGACATACTAAATGCTAAAAATTACAGCCAGGCAATGGCATACACCTGTTATCCTAGTACTCAGGAGGCTGAGGCAAGAGGATTGACAGTTCATGGCCAGTGTGTGTGCTCATGCACACATACCAGTTTTGTCTGGGAATATAACTCAGTAGTAAAACGCTTGCCTAGTATGTGTAAAGATCTGGGTTCTATTCCAAGCACCACACACACACGCAAAACCTAGTTTTGTTTGATTATTTTAGAAATGTCACCAATTCTCTAGTAGCTCACAGTAAAATAAAGACTGCTGGAATCTTGTATACAATTGAAATACAGGGTCTTGCTGTGTAACCCAGGCTGGCCTTGGATTTGCAATCCTTCTGCCTCAGCTTCCTGAATTTTGAGATTACAGGCATGCACCATCATGCCTAGCCATATTCCTGTTTTCACAGAAAAAGAAACAAAATTTTTAATTTTGTGAAGTTATTCTGACGTTTCGTATAACAATTTGTATTTCAAAGCCAAATTGCACAGTATTAAAAGTTAGAATGATTTGAAGTAAAATAGATTAGGAAACATGTTCTCTTCCATAGAAATAATAGCAGCATCTGTCATGATGACTGTGGAGATTTTAGGAGTGAGTACTGAAGCTTTTTTTTTTTTTCTTTTTGTGGTATTATGATTTGAACTCAGGATCTCAAGCTTGATAGGCAGGCACTTGAACTGTGCCCCTGGCCCTTTTTGCTGTAGTTACTTTTTGGATAGGGCCTCATATCTTTGCCTGGTTGTGGACTCAGACTGACATCCTCCTGTCTCCATACCTGGAATTATAAGCATGTCCCACCACACCCAGCTTACTGGTTGAGATGGGGTATTGATAACTATTTTTCCTCAGCTGGCCTTGAATTTTGATCCTCCCAATCTGTGCTTCCTGAGTAGCTGGGATTACAGAAGTGCACTGTACCACTGCACCTGACCCCCAGTACTGAAGGTTCCTGAAGTTAGTGATGTTGTATCTCCCTCAGAAATCCATGTATTTCAGATCTTCAGTATCTTGTGCTCACTGGAAAGACTTCATTTATCTCCTTTCATCTCCACTGAGCTAGTGTCCATGGTTTCCAAATTTAGAATCCATTTTTGGTCTTTACATACTACTTGTAATTCTCAATTCTAGATCCAGAATTATTTAAGCGGAACATATTTTAAATGCAGAGCACCAGAGTATGTGATGAAAGCAAATAATCTGAGAAGGAACGAAGCTAGAAATCGATGGTAGCTCACCTTTGGTAGGAAATGCCAAAACACACTTAGTTCCTTACAGCACTTAAACTAAGGCTTTTAAGTTACCTGCTTTAAAAATGTAGTTTTAGGGCCACAATTCTAGTATTTAGAAACCAAGTTTGTTAGAAATGGCCTTTGAAGTTTACAACAGTTAACAGTTGAGCTTTTCAAACATGGACAGCTTCCTGAATCAGAAAGAAAATGGGAGGACTTTAACTTTTTTAGTATCAGAATAAGAAATGATGCTGGCAGCTCAATGTAATTTTATGAAAGTGTGATCAAAGCAGCTGAATTTAGTTACAAGTGTCACTCAGTTACTGTTTGGAGCCTTTCATGTCAGGATGGCTTGCCAAGTAAGAAAGGGCATGAATATGCCAGTGGCTTTTAGAGAATTGGCTAGAATTGGTTCTGCCACATGGCCACCATATTATCAGTGGTCAGAAAACTCACCATGCTCTGTTTGAGGGTCTTAATGTCACAAGTACTTTTTTGTAAAATCGTAAGAAGCAAGAAGAGGGAAGCATTGAAGCCAGAGAAACATTACAGTACTTCTTGTTGTCCTTGTCCTTATCTTCACTTAGGAACAGATGACTTCTTTATAGCAGGTTTGGCTTCATCTCAGGGTATGAACTATGGTTTAAGTGGTAAACTTTGAAGAAACATACATGTCCCTCTTGAAGCCAGAGAGGCATTACTAGAAAGAACTCAGGAGTTTTTATTATAGCATGCTGTTATTTAAACAGGTCACATGGGTGGCCCACATTCAAAGGGAAATAGATTCCACATCTGATGGGAGAGGGTGTAAAGAATTTGTGATCATGTCTACCCTCCCTGTGTGTGTGTGTGTGTGTGTGTGTGTGTGTGTACACATCCTTAATAAATCCCATCAGTAAGCACACATGTGTGTGTGTATAAATTTTGGCTAGCTGGAAGTTTAGGTTAGTTTTCTGATGTCATTTATTTTGCTTCATTGTTTTAAAGAATGCTTTGGAAAGTTTTCCTGAACTAACAATAATTACTCGAGACTCTAAAACAAAAAATGGAGGATCTGCTATTTCTAAAATCAAAATGAATGGCAAAGCTTATAATAAGAAAACTCTAAGGACTTCTAAATCAATCACTAAATCTGCACAGGTAAGTAAATATTGATTAATTGAAGTATAAATTTTCCATTGAAACAAATATTTTCCTATGTTGTCATTAAGTATGAAGGTTTTTGGGTAGGAATAAGCAGTTCTGGCCTGTTGACCAGGACGTGGTATTACTTTTCTTCTGTGCCAAGCACATTATCTGGCATATAAAAATTGCTCACAGAAATAAGGAAGAAATTATTCCATGGACAGCTTTGTAATTGACAAGCAAAATTATATTTATCATGTACACATTTTGAAGAATATATAAATGATGGAATAGCTAGCGTGAGCTACCTCACATGTTCATTACCTGTTTATCATTTTGTTGTTGGATACACTTTTACAGATAATAAGCATGCATACATTCTAAGATTCAATATTTGATTTCATATCTGCAAAATCATTAAAATGGTATTTGTTCATCTTTAAATATACTATAAATTGTTATAACCTACCAGAAAAATTTAACAGCATAACAATACCACATCGAAAATCTATTTTATACAAACACATTCACAAATGCATAAAAATGTGTGCCTTGCTTGGCATGGTGGCACCTGCCTATAATTTGAGTCACTTGGGAGGCCAAGGCAGAAGAATCCTAAATTTGAGGCCAGTCTGGGCAAAACGGTAGTGAGATTGCTTTAAAAGCAAGGAGAGCTGAGGGTGTAGCTCAACTAGTGTAGTAACTTGACTAGCATGCGCAACGGCCTGGGTTCAGTCTGCATAACTACAAAAAAGAGAGAGAAAGAAAGAAGTTTGCTTGGCAGTCATTTATGTACCACCAGTGTGAAGTCAAATAAAGAAAGAACTACAAAGACAATGTAATACTGGTTACTTTTTTAAAAGAAGAGATATAGATGCATTCATTCTCAAAAAGTGCTATGTCAGGTATAATTCTAAGAACTAGGAATACAACAGTGAAAACTAGTCAAAACCCATGCCCTCAAGGGCTGACAGAGTGGATCAAGTCATAGAGCAAGTGTGAAACCCTGAGTTCAAACCTCAGTACCACCAAACAAATACAAAATTCCATGCTCTTATATAACTTGTATGTGGTTGTAGGTAAGGATAGATATATATATCATAAAAGGAAAGATAGCCAAGTTGTAGTTAGGTTAAAAAATAACTTGTGGAGGGGCAAATTACAGGACAATATGCATAGATGATTCTGTTTTCATTTTAAATTAGTGTTACTAGGGCTTGGTGGGTGGTTCAAGGGGTAGAGTGCCTGCCTAGCAACCACAAGACTCTGAGTTCGAACCCCAGAACTACAAAAAAGAAAAGTTTTATTAATATATGTACTATACCCAGGGGAAAGCATGCAAGAATATATAACATGCTATTAGCCTCATTTATCTCTGAAGTGAAAGATTATAGAAAGCTTTTACTTTAAGTCATCATGTGTTTTCTGGTTAATTTTTCCAAATAGTGCATATTTATGGTCAAGAAAAAAAAAATTGATTTTTTGTTTGTTGTTGAGCTGGGGGTTGAACCCAGGGCCTTGTGCATGCTTGTGCATGTTAGGCGCACACTCTACCACAGAGCCATCTCCTCAGTTCCAAAAAAAATGATTTAAAATATAATTTAAGCTCTTATTTTGAATAAACTTCTGTGCATATTAATACAACCTAAGACCTAACCATGTAGGTCATTATCAAGATTGCCATAAGAGGTTTTTGGCTTTTTTCTGGCTGCACTGGGGTTTGAACTCAGGGCCTCACAGGCACTCTTAGCACTTGGGCCACTCCACAAGACCATTCCTGAGAATTTTAATCTAGTATTTCCCCAGAAGTATTCTTAGCTTGATGTTTCAGGGAAAATATCTATAAATGTTTTTCTTTTTATAGGAGTTTGCTGTTGATCCAGAGAAAATACAGTTTGTATTCTTTGTATCATTCACTCCATCATTATAATACCATGTTTATCTGATATGTAAGGATGAGGTAATTTCTTTTTCTTTTATTTAAAAAAGGACGTTTGTTTTTCTGAAGTTTGAAGAGACTCTAGTTAAGTATGTTAAATGTCATAGTATTTGTGACTGCTTTAAAAATGAATTGTAAAATGTGTACTTTGCTTGTATTCTGTATTGACTAGATTTGAGTTTCTGTGCTGTTTTGTGCTCAAATTTTTCAGAGCCTTACCACCTCTTGAGCTATAACTGTAACTGGCGATGTTTTTAACTGTTAGTGCTTGCTTTACATTACCAAGGTCAATGGTGCTTTATTGCATTTTGTTGTTTCATTGTCTAGAATGATCTGCTTTAATTCATTTCGGTCACTGGCTTGATATCTTCCTGCCTCCTTATCACTAAAATGACCTTATCCCAGGGAAATGGGGTTTTGTACCTTGGGATAAAAAATGAAATCTACATTTTAATTGCAACTTAATTAAAGTATTACTACAACTTAGTTAAATATTATAAACTTTTAGTTACACAGATTATTTATCACAATAGGAGCACCTTATATGTGGGATATAAGGATTAATTCCTCAAGAGTAAACTGTTATTACTACTACCTATTTGACCAGCACTAACAGTTTTTTTAGTTATAAGAGGTTAAGTTAGCCCAGGTTTTTCTTGAATGTGTTAGACAATAGTCTGAGATGGAAAGATGTTCACAAATCTAACTTTTCTAGCAAAGAAGAATGCGAAATGATGATGCCAACTATGTTGGTGTTTTACAGTGCTCCGAGATGCAGTGTTAACATCTGTATTTGTCATTTAGTTTTTAACACACAGGAAAGAGTTTAGAAAGTTTAAGGCACTTGTTCTAGCTTTCCTAGAACAAGGGGATGAGAACAGGAGTAGACCTTACCCAGATTCATCTGAAATAATTATGGGTGGGAATAAGGGGGGAAAAAGTCTGTATATGTAGTTTGAATTAATAAATCCTTTCAATCAAGATCAAGAAAAGTAAGTAAGCCTTGTGAAGGCTTAAGTATAAAGTGATATGTATAAACTAATGTGACAATTTTCTTTATTTTAGATTTCTTCTGTGCAGAAAAAAAATGAAGATTTAGGACAGGAGGAAATTGTTCAACTTTGTATGAAAAATGTAAAATGGGTGGAGGACCTATTTGAAAAATTTGGAGAACTTCTAAATCACGTACAGCAGAAATGTTCCTAACATGTACACAAAAATTCCCCTTTTTTATAGCACTAATGAAATGGCAGAGGGGGTGGTCACAGATAATCAATCACATGTCTCCTGCAGGAATGCCCACTTCCAGCAAACACTTTCACAAGTACCTCTGCTAAGGAGAGTGGTGCTACCATGACATCAGTCCTTAGAAACTTAATCCCACCACATTTTTATTCTGATGAATGATTTTTCTATTTCATAAACCATTGGGTAACTGAGTTTTATTTTCAGAAATGTTTTTTGACAAATGATGAAGCATGCACTAATATAATCTTTATTGCTAGAGTAATAACACTTAAATAACTTGATTTTTTTTTTTTTTTTCTGATTCTGGCTAAATGTCAGAATGAAAGAGGTGGCAGAAAGCATACATTTGTATTCGTGTCTGGCCACAAAACCGAAAGTATTGTACATTATGTAAACAGATCTGAGATGATGTGACATCCTGTATGAGAATATCATCAGTTTAAAACATAAAGTTCAGAAACTGCATTCTGCTTTACGGACTCCTTCTAACATGTTCAGGAAACTGGATGTGGAATTGGTGCAATTCTATGACTGCTTTTTGTGTCAAATTATATTGTGATGAAAAAAACAGTGACATACTATTTTCCCTATCTCAAAGAAAAGTATTTTCCTTTATACTGTGTTTTTTCCTTTGGGAAAATTTCAATTGTACATTTTATTTTACTAATAGTTGTATTTTTCATAAGGAAAATGTTGCGGTTATAATTTTGTCCTCTGTATCTGTGATATACTTCATTGTTTTCAGTAAATCCTGTTTATATTGAATTTTATTGTGAATTCTATCTTAAGGTAACCATTTTGTTCATAGAGATTTGCTCCAGTGTTATCCAGAACATGCATTCAGTGCTAGAATTATTGGTTTAGCTTTATAAATGGGGCTGTGTTAGACACTGCATGGCAATTTTGTAATTATAAAATAAATTTTTTACTAAACCAGCACTTGATTAAGCCAACCTGTCAAAGAAAAATCTTAAGTACATGCTATATCTTGGAGAATAAAACTGGTAAATAGATAATATGCAGTGTTTCACACAGCTTCCCTCACTTAAAACTGGAAGTGGAGTTCTCCTTTTGGTGCCTTTTCAACCTTTTTACACATTATTGTAGCTTTCTTAAGTTTAAGAGCTAGCATTTCAAGTAGTTTAGCTGAGACAGTGAATGTATAGGTTCAACATGACCTTGTGTTTTATTTGTTTTGCCAACAGGATGCCTTATTTGTTTGTGAAAAAGATTTACTAGTGTCATTCTAAGCTATCTGCTTTTTAGGATTCTAAAGAAATTGTTAATCATCATACTTTTGTTTATTTACCACCATTTAGTGCCTTAAGTCCTATTAAGAAAACATTATTGTTCAATGCCCAAATAAGACATACCTATGTGCATATTTCTGTTGTCTTGATTTTGAGTTAACAGGCCAACAACGTCTTATACTTAAAATTTCAGTAAACTGGCAAAGAATTAAAGTTAACATGTCACTTGATTTTAGAATAAAATATTGTAGCATTGGGTGAAAAACAAGTATTTGAATTAAGCTTATACATTTATTTCTGATGGTATTTTATTAAAAGCAATAATCCTTAATACTTGTACCTGTCATTAGACAAGGAACTCAAGAATGGAAGTTACTCTCAAGGGTCAAATGTTCCACTGCTGAAAGTTTTTTTTAAACTTATTTTTGAAAACAAAAGTAACCTATAAGATTTATTTTGCCTAACTCCTGAGAATATGAGAGAGTGCAGAGAATATGAAAGTGGGAAAATCATAAATTAATTTTGCAAGTAGAAAAAAGCAGGAAGCAGCCATTTTTCTCTGATACAATGACTCTGGACAGAATTGGTTTCTTTCATTTCCAAAGCTACATTTCCTGATGTAGTGTTGTACCTATACATCCTTACATTACTCTCCCAGCTTTCTTTCCTGAATCATGAGTGCTTTAAATATTTTTAAAAACCACCTTGCATTTAGGTAACCCTTGAAGTAGATTTTGAATAAACCCAATGGAAAAAAGATGTTTCATCTTGTTTGCCATAGAAAGAACCCATTTCCTTTTGAATGGCAGTTGCCCTCAAGATGTTTATAGTTGTAGTTGTGTTAGTTAGAAAAACATGTGTTTTCATAATACAGGAGACCAAGTCCTATAGCCCTGTCTCAAAGAGACTGTTGTTCTTGCATCATCTTCTCATTTTTCCATTGTGCATAGGAAAACATCAACTTCAGGCCTTAGAGAAATATGAGACTATGACAGCCACATACATGTCCTCTCTTGGTATGAAGTTAAATAAATGCCTAGTTGGTTAGCATATACATTCCTTGCCAGGGATTTTGAAATTTATAATATAGGAATATCTTTAGGTTGTAGATAGAGTTAAAGAAGTAAAGCACATGTTGCCACAACCTAGGAAAATATTTTTAAGGAAGATTGGATTTTCCTACCTATAGAGATCTGGAAATAATTTAACGTAAAAAAGTCATTTGTGCTGGTATTCATCTCATTCAGATGAATGGCTGGAGAAGGCTCTCCTTGCCATTTTCATTATATCTTATTTTCTACTTATTTGTCCCATTATGAAGTCATAAATTTACGCTTTATGAATTATTACAGTAATACAGTAAGTTGAACTAGGAACTGCCCATTTTCTTGTGATTTTACAAATAGGAAATATTGGTAAGATGGAAGAAAACCATGTATTAAAATGGTTTAGAAAATTTTCAGATTACTTTTAAAATTCTGAATTTCTGAAACTTGAAAATAGATTCATGCATTAGAACCATTTTCAAAGCTTCACATTTTTAAACTATTGTTTTCTCTTAATATACATATTTATTTTCTTTAACGTACCTATATTCCAGCCCATGTCTTTGAAGATACATCCATAAATCCAATACAGCATCAGGATTACTGAAGCAGCTTTCTGAAAGTTGTTTCCGATGTATAAGTTAAAAATTTTATTGTATTTGTAAAGTACAATTTTTGTTTAAAGCTGTATTCCATCTGTTTCACAAAATACTTTTCAGATAGAAATAGCCCAGATAGCTGCTTCTGTGTTAGTTACACTTGACACACAACTGCACAAATGAACAGTGTACTATTGGTTGTGCATTTACTTAATATACAAGTTTTGACATCTGTGTTCACAAATGCATGTTTTTTGCAAATCATGTTTATTTATAAGTGATAGTAATTGAAATTAAGGATACAAAGAAACCTGCATTTGTAGTCCAGAGTTTTCAATTGGTCCATAATACCATGTATGGAAATGTGAATGACAATTTTGTATATTTGTTTGTTACTAACTCAGATCATTAAAATGAAAACAATTTTTTAAACAAGAAAATCAGAATGTTTGTTTTTTTTAAGAATTAAAAAACCGAGGTATAGCCTCAAGAATCATCATGTTCAGATTCCTTACAGAAGAAATGCATTACAGATTTCTACACAGAGTTACACAAATATAGTATAGGGCCTAGCCAGTATCTTCTCAGCTGGTACTTCAAGACAGTATTGAAAGAATCTCATAGCCTTTGCTGACATTATCAGTCAGAACATAGTTAAGAGTTTCAGCATTAATACACAAGTCTTTCAGCCCTTTCTTACCTATAAAGAATTATAAAATCCATTAAGTTATACCTTTCTAATCTTGTTTATTTGAAAATAGGAATAGCTAGAAGTACTGGATAATCCCAAGATATTATTATCTCTATAAACTACTGCCTAAGAGTTGGCTCTGACTGTCCTTTGACTAAGATTATCTTAACCTACATCTAACATTAAAAAATATTAAATACTTCATGTGAAATTTTTTTTCACTTAACATTTATACATTTAGTACCTTTGTAATTAGTTTTGGTTATAAAAGCAGACATTCCTTTATTTCAGAAAGAAAAATAAATTCTTAATATTATTTCAAAAATATTTTTAAAATTTTGAGCATCCCTGTTTTATTCTCCATTAGTTGCTGAAATTGCTGTTCATTTTAGTTTTTTTCACATAATTTAGAAAATAGTTCTTATTCAAATTATCCATATTGAATGCCTAAAGGCTAGCTCATATACTATATTGCTTGCTGATGTTTTGTTACTGCCTGGTTCTTTCAAAGAAAGAACAAAGTATATCTGTACATTCTTTAAAATATACTTTGTGTCTCAGAGAAACTCTCTAAACTCTATTATTCAACCTAGTCCTCCTCCGTGAAAAAGTGTACTTCTTTTGTTTTCCAAATAGGAATACTTCATTACTGAGAAAATTAAAGCTACTTATATTTGTTGGTTTTAACAATAAAAAAGGGTCAAACACCTAAAACAAATGCAGTAATATTATTGGACATGGGTCACACACTAAGGGAGAATGCATACAGGAGGAATAGGAAGGAAAGGAAACCTAAAACTTGAATGTGTTGATGTGCCCACTGTAGAGGAGTGAATAAAGTAATCTTAAACTGACAGAGGCCACTATGGGAAGGGGACTGGGAAGCAGTGAAGAGGTCTGGCAGAGAAGAACCAATGTGAGTTGTAATACACATGTGCATGGAAGCAATGCTAGGAATCTTTCTGTATACCTATCCTTACCTCAAACTAGCAAAAATGTTATGTCTTTCTTATTATCGCTTATGTCTTTTTAACAAAATTGGAGAAGAGGGTAAACAGGTTCTGCCTGGAAGTGAGGGGGGTACGGGAGAGAGAGGGGAGCAGGGGGGAGAGATGCCCCAAACAATGTATGCACATATGAATAAATGAATAAACAATAAAAAAGGGGTCAAACAATGTGTAAAAGTGTAAAAAAAAAAGATAAAAACTCCTATCTA